TTAGTTCTAGAAATTCTTTATTGATTTTTCGTTTGGATGACATATCTCTGGGTGATAGGGAAGTATTGAAGTCTCCCACTACCACTGTGTTGGAATCTATAGGTGTTTTTAGGTCCTTCAGAATACGTTTGGTGAAATTGGGTGCACTGACAGATAGGTTGATAATTGTTCTTTCCTTTTGGTGTATTTCTCTTTTTGTTAGTATGGAGTGTCATTCTTTATCTCACTTGGTCAATGTAAGTTTGAAGTCTACTTTGTCTGAGATAAGACAAGAGTAGCAACTCTTGTCTGTTTTGGGGGTGAGCATTGGCTTGGTAAATCTTCTTCCAGCATTTTACCCTAAGCCAGTGCTTGTTCCTATCAGTGAGATGGATCTCCTGTAAACAATAGATTGTTGGATCTTCCTTCTTAATCCAGTTTGCCAAAAGGTGTCTTTTGATGGGGGAGTTAAGTCTGTTAACATTCTGTGTTAATATTGATAGGTATGTGGTGATTCCTGTCATTTAGTTGTCTTGTTGTTTAAGGGTTTGATTGTGTGCAGCTGAATCAATGTTACTTTGATTCCTTGCCTTTTCTTCTCCTGTGGTTTGGTATTGCCTGTCTTCTCATGGTTTTGTTTGCTTTCATTTTCTGTGTACAGAATTCCTTGGAGAATCTTTTGCAGTAGTGGCTCTGTGGTCATATCTTGTTTTAGTTGCTGCTTATCATGGAAGGCTTTTATTGCTCCATCTATTTTGAGTTATATTTTTCTGGGTAGAGTACCCTAGAATTGAAGTTTTTTTCATCCAGTGCCCAGAATACCTCACTCCATGCCCTTCTTCCTTTAAAGATTTCCAATGAGAAATCTGTTGTGATTCTGGTGGGTTTACCTTTGTATGTTATGTTTTTTCTCTCTTACAGCCTTCAATATTCTTCCTCTATTCTCTGTGCTTGTTATTTTAATGATAGTATGTCATAGGGAGGTTCTATTTGGTCAAGTCTGTCTGGTTTCCTGGAGGCTTTCTGTACCTGAATGAGCATAGTTTTCTCCGGGTTTGAGAAATAGTCTATTATTTTGTTGAATATATTATGAATTCCTTTTCCTTGCTCCTCTTCTCCTTCTCAATGTCTATGATTCTCAGGTTTGGTGTTTTGATGGAGTTGGAGAGTTCTTGCATATTCCTTTCACAGGTCTTGAGTTGTTTGACTAATAGCTCTTCAGTTTTTCCTCTAATTTCCATTTATCTTCAAGTTCTGAGATTTTTGTCTTCTGCTGGTTCTAGTGTGCTGGCATGGCCTTCCACTCTGTTTTGTACTTCTGTTTCATTCTTTTTTTCTGAGGTTTTTCCATATCATGGGTCACTTCCTCTTTAATATTGTCTATTTTCATCTTTAATGCATTTATCTCTCTATAGTGTTCTCTATTTTACTTTGGTATTTATTTAGGGCTCCTATGAGTTCATTTATTTGTTTCTGTGTCTTTATTTTTGGTGTCTTGGAATTTCTTGAGTGCATCTTCTATGTTTTGGTTGACCATGTCTAGTAACATCTCCATGAAATTCTCAGTGATTACTTGCAGGATTTCTGCTTTGAGGTTGTTCTTGTGGACATAGTTGGGTTCCTTGGTGTCATTTGTCTTTGTTTTGTTGGATTTCAGAACTGGGTATCCATTTTCTTCATTTCCCTCTGAATCCTGTATTAAATTATTTTTGGGGGGGAGAATGGTTTCCATTCCTTTTTCTTCTTCCCATTGCTCCACTTGGTACTGTGCAACTATGTTCTTGATAGGCACGTTTTTGGTTTCAGTCATCTGTTTTCTTTCCCTTGATTTAATTTTTGTTTTGTTTCTGTCTTGGGTTTTTAGCTAAGTTGGTATGCTATTTCTGACCCTGCTCTGGGTGTAATTTAGTATTAACTAGTTCACAGGTTTAACACCCTCATACAGAAGATCCCCTGGTGGTAATATTTGGCAGGGTTAATGTTTGTAATGCTAACTATAGAAATTTGGGGGTTGGATTGGGTGGCACTAAAGGTGGAGATGGGAAGTGGCATGGGTGTGTGGGGAAAGCAGTGTGGGGGCTGCTGTTTTTGTGGTCCTTGTGTGTGTTTGGGTATATTTCTGTTGTTGTAGAAGAAGGTATTTGTGATAGGGATTGCAGGGGTTTGAGTTGTGTATAGTTGGTATAGTAGGTTGTTCAGTGGGTGAAGGAGGGAGGGGTAGTCAGGTGATATGTTAGGGGAGAAAGTAAGGGGAAGGTGAGGGCTAGGGGAAGAGAGTGGGTGAGTGGGGAGCAATGGGTTTTAGCACAAGAGAAGGATGGAAAGTAAAGAGGGTGAGCGTAGGGATGAGAGGATGATGATGGTTAAGTTGATAGTATAGAAAGAGAAAAGAAAAAAAAGATAATAGGAGTAAAAGTTAAACTAGAAAACCCACAATAATAAAACTAATAACATCAAAGAAATCAATGGGGAGAGATGAACAAACAGACAAGAAGGAAACAAACAAACAAAATAAACTCCAGGTTCAAGAACAGTAGAATGTCAGTCTTAGTTTGAGTTCTGGTGTTACTCCTCCAGCATCCATTCGTGGTGTTGGTATGTAAGCAAAAGCTCATGGTAATCTTGCCAGGTCTTTGGCTTATGAGTAGTGTGTTTTTCCTTCTGTCTTTGAGCAGCAGCTGCTTGGTCAGCTCCTCCCTCAGTGGGGTGTGGTAGTTTAAGTTTGTGTGTTGTCCTCAGGTTCAGGAGATCAGCTCTATAGCCCACCAGCTGTCCTGCTTTGGAATTGGATTTTTGCTTTGTTGGTTTATAGGGGGCTTGTTTCTTTGCCTTGCCCTCTTTCTCTGTGGCAAGGTCAGTGATCCGTCAGCTGGCTCCCTGCTGTCTGCGTGTTGTGATGGTTTGCTGTTTGTTTTTAATTTTGTGGAGCTGTTTGACTTTGGGTGTTGCTCACTGGCTCAGGAGATGACCTTTGTGGTCCACTACCTGCCCTACTTCAGGCAGTGGCTTATCACCCACCCGGTCTCTGTCCTTCTGCCTTTCCATGCTTTGTTCACTACTATTTCACACAGCTATCGGCTCCTTGCCCCTGTCCCCTTCTCTGGTGTGCTTTCAGCAACCCTGCCCCCTCTACTGTGTGCTAGTTTTCAGTTCCTTGTTTATTGTACTTTTTTTTTTTTTTTGCATGGGGTTCAGCACAGCCAGTGGCTATGCTAGTTTATCCCAGGGGTGGCTGGGGGGAATACCATGTGATACTTGGCGCTTACCTGTTTGGTCTACTGAATGTCTCACAGGCAGGTCTGGAGGTGGCGTCTGGCAGTGCGGCAGCCATCTGTTTTCTCAGTGTAATGTGGTGTGGAGAAGTTTTCTACAGGCTAGGGGTTTGGAGTGTTGAAGTTTTGATTCTCTTTGGTGCTTTATTTCTGCCAAGTGTGGCTCCAGTGTTCCAGCAAGATTTTGTAGTCACAGAGCTCACACTGTCTGGTTCTGCACCATAGTCACTACCTTGGACCCTAGGAGATGAATTTAACCAACTTACACCTGGTGTATAATGGACACAGATATACCAAATAAGGATGCATAGCAACTCAAGCATATTCAGTTTAGATGAGAGGTGGGGGAGATAAAAGGGGGAGACAGGGAAGGAGTGAGAGAGGAGGGAGGGAAAGAAGAGAGAGAGAAGGTAAGAGACAGAAATTCATAGCTCACATACACATTCTCATCACAGAGTTTCTTTTCCTACCTGGACAGGAAAAATAGTGAACATTCATGTCGAGGGAAGTAAAACCTGTTCGTTTTGATTTTACTATTGTATTCCAGCTTTGACTGTTTACCAATCTTATATCTATGTTCCTTGCTCTTCCTCCAGGCTATCCAATGCAGAAGGATAGGAGGCCTCTAGCATGCCATAATATTCAGCGGTATCTTCTTTCTCTATTATGAAACAGTCACCATCTATTTCAGGTAGAAACACTTTTAGGAAGACATTCAGTGGGCCTATAAATGGCATTTATAATTAGTCTGAAGTTCCTATGGGAGTATTGACAAGTACAGTCAATTTAGGTGGTCATCAAACATTTGAAAATATGCATAAGTGCATTCTAAATGAAGATATAACATGAATTTAATAAGTTTGCAAATAAGTCACATCTATGACATATTATCATAATTCTAAACATCACTAATTTTATCTTATCCTGAGCCCTATATTTTAACAAGCTTACTAAGAAAGGATGTCAGAGGTTGAGCACATTCTTTTTTTCATCTTTCTCTCTTTTTAACTTGTGTATGTCATTTATACAAAGCAGAATGTTTCATTCTGAGAATAACAATCTAGTAAAAATGATCTTACCACCTCTGCAGATAAGGTAAAAGTAAAACATGATGTACAATTCACATTTGATAAGAAAGTTATATCATGAGACTGCAGTATAAACCAGAAGCCCAGGGGGAAATTGGAAGTTTCACAGGAAGAAAGGAAAACATGAAATAAATTGCTAACTATGATTGTGATACAAATGAGCCAGAAAGGTGACTTAAAGGACAGAATGAATAGGAAGGAAAATACTTTAAAGAATAAGCAGATTTATTATGACAATCAGACTCCTCTTGAACAGCAATCTTTTCTTACTTATGAAGCTTCATGACACCCAAGCAGCATTAACAGATGAAACTCATGAATCCGTTCCTTCACTCGCAAACTTAGGTCATTCCAGCAGCTGACCCAAGTAGACATACCTTCTCATTGATAAGCATTACACTTCCCCATAATAGCACATGACAGAGTTGGTGATGGGGACACCCACGATACCTTCCACTTTGGTCTCTGGAAATTCAGGTCAGCTCTAATACTGTTTTACAGATTTACATTTTGTTTTATTTTCATTTATTTATTTACTTATTTAATTGCAACAAAAGTGTTCTACCACTGAGCTACATCCTCAGCCTTTGTGTTTTGTTTTTTGGTATTTGTTTGGTTTTCAGATCTTAAGTATTTAAGATCCTCCTGCTTCAGAGAACTGTGTGTTGGGATTACAGTTGTGCACTACCATGCTCTGCTCTAATACATTTTTAATTACTGAAGTTAAAGTGTCTTCTGAATTTGAACAGTTCTCTACACCTTTCGCCTTCTGCAGTTGAGGGAGAGAATATGAATTTTTCTCAACAGACTACAAGTATAGTCAACCATCAAATTATATGTAAATGATTTGATTTATTTTCCAAAATAAGCAAGAAGTACATACTGTAAGTGTCTTCCATCCTGAAAACACAGAAGAGCTGAGTCCAAGTGCTGGTGGGGAAAAGCACATTTTGAAGAATTAGAAATTAAATATTCTAAAACATAGCCTAGGAAGTGGAGACATTTATGAACATGAAGATATCAAAGTTCAATGTGAGAAATTATTAACATATTTTCTTCTCCCAAAACATTTTCTCCTCCTCAAAGCATTCTTTAACTCCTAAGAATCATGTTTATGTCTTTGTCTAATTCACATTCCTGGAATAAACTCTAGGACCCACCAATCATTGAACTGAGTATGACTATTAATATAACTGTGACTAGGTGACAAAATGTCTATTTTAAGTGGTGTTACAATGGCCTGCCTCTGTTTGCCAATTTTTAGGGTTCCCTACTATTTAAAATTAGAAGCTCAAGAGTATACTTTTAATTTATACTTCTGGATAAACATAGGATGAAGGTACTATTTTAAAGTTCTCCTTTCAAGTTGGTTAAAATTATAAGATGGTGGGCATGTTGACAGTCTTCCCCGCTTCTCTTTGTAGAATCTGAGAGTACTGAATGCCTACGTTGAACAATGTACATACTGCCTATCAAAAATGCACAGAGACATTCTAGCATATCATTTTCATGACGTTTAATAAACACGATCAGTAAGTAACACACATGTTCCCCTTTTTCTAATGATGCATCACTTTGCTCCTCACAATATCCTTTGCTAAGTTGGCAAGACTTGGTGATTTGAGCCCCTACACTACTCATTCACTGTCTGCATAGTGAAAACTTGTGAATTTAGAGCTTAAAAACTGTCTAGATTATGGATAACACAGCCATAACAGTACAAATCTGATAAATGTGAAAAATTAAAAGAGAAATTACCTTCTTTCCCTGGAGAACTCTTCCATTAAGCACTGTGATTAAATAAGTTTACTCTTTTATGAAAACCTAATTTTAAAATAAGTCCTATGGCAATCTCATGAAAACACTTACTTGTACAGCTCATGTCTCCAGACCAACAGTTTAAATAACAGTCTTTAGTGAAGCTACCTTAAAAATGTTGTTCACGTACAGATACAGAAATCCTACTTTTTGACATTCTACTGTTCTAGTTACCTTTTCATTAAAATTAAAGGGGAATGGAGGGAGGAGCCAAGTATTATTTCTTGATTTTAAGGCATATAAATGAATAATACATAGAAAATTCAGTAGCCTATAGCCAGGTAACCTATTCTTTCCTGATGGACACACTGGAATGGAATTCATAGAATCACCACACAGCTTTGTCCCTATAAGTATTTTCGGTACCAGTTTGTTAGTGGGTGATTCTAGTGATCGGGACAAACTGCACATGAAGCACTGATTCTGGAAAAGACATATAACAGGAAGCTACTGCTGTTTAAACTCCTAACAGAGTTCCAGGCCTCAGTAATGATTTTCCCGCTTTAACCAATTAAGGAAAGAAAGAACCTAAAACTCGAGCAGATTCAAGCACTAGGACTAAATGAAAGAATCAGGAGAGATGCTTAACTTAAACACAAGACACTAAATGTGCTTGGGATCCAACAGGTAGACCATGGAGAAGCAGAGTAGTCTGACAGTAAATGAGCTGCTGTTCAGATTCCCAGGGCTGGAGGCCAGGGGAGGAAAAGGGAAGGTGGTACATGTGTAAAGGACTACCAAAGATCATTTTTTGGATTAGCAAAACCAGAGCTGGTCACTTTTCCTGCCTCAGTCCAGAGGCGTAGCTGCCTCCGTTGCCAATGTTGCCAACAGTTGCCAGAGACGCTAACCGTTGCCAGAGTTGCCTGGCACCGCTCAAGCCCAGCATTGACGTCACTTCTCGTGGCAGAGTCCTAGGCCTTGTCCCGGGAGCGGCACGTCCTGCAGTCCTTAACTCTTAGCGGTTGTTTCCTTGCTGGTCCTGTCCGCCTACGTTCAGTTGCTCATTTTTAGCCACAGTGGTCCTACTTGGGGAAACTTACTTTCCTTGGTAAGTACCCATCTTAGGAGAGAGGAGGAGCAAGCAGAAATTGGCCTTGGAAGGTATGGCACAGGGTGGAGGTGGAGGGCTTTTAGTAAGGAGACCTTGTTTATGGAAGTTGTCTACATAGAAATGTTACATCTTGAGAGAGAGTAGAGGAATTATGAAGAGATGGGCAGATCAGTTTAAAAGTAATCGCCACGGGCAGGAATGGTGTATCTGCTTAGCACCTGTGGCGTAATCTCTAGTTCAAACGTAACACTAATAGTGTGTTGGAGTGGCTGGTCGAGTGATGGTTGGATTAAAGAGACCTTTAGTTGGAGAGGACATGTGGGCCAAAATAATAATTTGAAGTACAGAGCCAATCGTACTGTGAGTGTTCCTTATGAAACCTGGTATTCTGTGTGTATAGAAATGTAGAAGAAATGAGTAGAACCTAAAAAGTCTTTAAAGAGCATTATGGATGAAGGGGACTTGTAATATTTGAGGATAAACTGGAAAAAAAGAAGTCATTGACACTATGGGTGGAACCTGTGATAATATTTTTAAGAACTCCGCTATAAAAGTTGTAATATGACCAAAATAATTTGAACCATACAAAATCTGAGAGACAGTCTGGGAGGCTGGTCTGGTTACTGAAATATTTGAATTTCTGACAGATTTAGTGAAGTAGAGTCTGTAACTTGAGTAGGACTCGTCACGATGGCAAAAACTGAATATAGCTATAGATTTGAGAAGTTGGACACTTTATTTTTACATGCATAAATTTTAAATACAGGTTTTCAGATAATATAGGTTTTCAGAGTGGGTGAGTATGATCAAATTGCATTTTGTGCATGTGTGGGAAGTATCATAAGGAACTACCTTACTTTGTGCAATTAGTATGCACTAACAAAAACTAACAATCAATTTCCAACTGGCAGCCCTGAGGATGAAGAGCCTTCAGTTCAGATTAACAACTTAAAAAGAAATGATGAAAGATGGGCTAAAGCTGTTCTGGTTGTTAATCATGTCTGCTTCTTGATCATCTCAGTAACTTAGAACCACCTGGGGTGCTTAAGATATGCCATACCAAATTTTTATCCTACACCAATTAATCAGAAAGGTCCAGGCACAGTTATTTTTATAAAACCTACCCGAGAGGATGCCACTGTTCAGTTAGAGATATGAGCGAGTCATATAGGCAGTTTTAAATTTATAAAAGCTGTTCTTTTCTCCTGGATGGTTCATATGAAGAGGAGGAAGTTGTATTCTGCCTTAATAATAATAATAATAATAATCATAATCATAATATAATTTTGGCTATGGTATTTCTGCTTGAAATCAAGGCTTTATATTTTCTTGGCAGGCACTCTACTGTTAGAGCCACACTAGCCCTTTTTTCTCTGGTTTCTTTTGAGATAGGGTCTTGCTTTTTGTCTGCTTGGCCTGGACAGAGATCCTCATGTTTTTACACTTTCCATCTTAGCTCAGATGACAGGCCTGTGCTGCCACACCCAGCTCTTGCTTGAAAAGGGTATTACAACCTTTTTAATTATGCTGGCCTTGAACTATGATCCTCTAGATCTCTACCTCAAATAGCTAGTTTTAAAGGATTGAACCACTGTGTTGGCCTTTCGTTTTGTTTTTTATCAAAATAAATAACTAAGAATGAAAACTTCATTGAAAGGTTAGAAGCTACATAGTAGGAAAAAGTTGCTACTATTGGGTACTCAGTTTTGGTTGTTAGGAAATAGTTTAAAATATTTTTTATGAAATCCCAAATTTCTGAATTAATCACAGTAGCACTGATACAGTATTAGTGAGGCCAGAGTGATTTGACCCAAAATGTGATTTTTCAGGCTTTATATTGCCTGGTACATTTTCTATGACCGTTAAGTACTTTTCATTCAGATCCCTACACACTGAAACTTCTAAAGAAGGAACAGCTAAAAGTCAGAGATAATAGGGGTCGGGTCCTAAATCAGAATTCCACTCAGGCTTCACTGAGTTCAGTATTGCATTTTCACGATGACAGGATCCTTAATTATCAATTGTTTCCTTTAGCACCAGAAAACAAGCCCACTGACTTACACAGGACCTGTTTTTCAGTGGTGATTTTGAAGCTTTTAAAAATCAACAGTTTTAAAGTCTTTCTGATGTTAAATGCTTTGTTCCTTCTCTGTCCACTCAAAAATTTTCTGCTTTATCTGAGATCTCTGTCTCCTGCTCATTCTAAATGTGCATGTACTGGTATTTGTCTCTAAATTATAGAAAATATTTTCAGAATTAGTAGTTAGAAACAAAACCTGTGGACTGAGAAGTAAAAAGACAGACGTGTGCTTTGGAAGATGGAAAGTCCTTTATTACACCATCAGGAATTTTGTTTCTGTTTTGATTTTTAGCTGTTATGCTTGAAGCAGTTCTAGTATTCCTTCAGATTGTTCCAAACCTTCAACTTTTTCAGAAAGTCTAATAAAACTTAAGATTTTGCACATTAGAACACAAAGATTTTTCTATTTCTTTGTTTCTTGCTTGAATTTTACCAACTACATGCTAGTTCTCTTGTATAAGCATGACTTTTGATTGGTGGCTGAGTATAGTTATTCCATGAAAAGATATTCCATGAAAGCAGTTGCAGAATTGATCACCATAAGGGCTTAAGTGGGAAGACGGTATTTGTTCTTATTGGGGAAGATAGTTTATAAAATGTTGTTTTAAAAGAGAGTGAAAAATTGGGATTTTTGCAGATGCTAAGTAAATGTAGCAGGGAGGAAAAACACCTATATTATATTTAGAAAAAGGCTGCTAGTAGAGCTTACAGATAAATAACCAACATACAGCTCTGGACATTTAATGGAAGATAGGATGTGAGTGATAGAAAAAAATAGTAATATTCTGTCTATGCTTTAGATGAATTTTATATCCTAATTTGAAATGCTAACATATTTCTGTATTCCACATTTTCTCTAAGAGTTATCCAGAAGTTTGTTCTTTCTGCTTCTCATTGATTTACAGGTATATCCTTCCTATAGGATTCTGCAGCAAATAGCTCCTCCCTCACACAGTGTCTGGAGTTGGCATTTAATGT